AGGTGTGGGGGTTGCTCTGGAGGGAGAAAATAAGTCCCTGGGGCCCCTCTCTCCGCGACGTGAGCAACGGTGGGGGGGCGGTCGCGGAGGGAGGGAGACCAGGGCGTCACAGAAGCTGGGGGGGCAGAGACGGAGAGGGGGGGTGTCATTTCTCAGGAAAAAAGAGAAACGGAATCCAGATGGATCAGCTGGTCGTCCCAAAGCCTGACAGAGAAAAGGTGCTTACAAAAATCTCTTCACCTGTAAACTTTGGTCTAAATGTCAAATTCCACCAAAGAGCAAACTATACCTGGAAAACTTAACCATCCCCAAAATACCAGCAGGCCTTTTCAGGAGTGAGATTGAACTGCCTTCCCTCTGCAGTTTTAGAGGGACGTTACCACAGCATACATTTGTGAAAATCGACTATGCCCCTGTAATGATAAAGAAATTGAAACATTAGAGTGTCTTTTTCATATGTCGTTTTTACATGGCCACCATCTTCAGAGGACTGTTGAAAAACGTTAGGAAGAACAACCTTCGGAACACAGCCAAAGAGCGCGAAAAACCCACAACCACCAAGCAAAACAAGACACAAATGTATGGCACCTTATTGGCTAACAATTATATTTTAATGTGAGCCTTTGTGGATGTGTCCATCAGACATACGGAAACAGTGAAAATAACGGATGAAATATCTGTTTCATAACACAGCACAGCGGAGAATAAAGCTGAAGGCAGAACCTGGGGGGATCTTGCGACCAGGGATCAGAGCTGGCAGGGGTTTGACGGAACAGAAAGGAAGAAAAGGGAGGAAGGAAAAGTCTTCATCTGGAGGACAGAGGACAAAAGAAAGGGGAGAGACCCAGGAGACAGGGCAGATCAGTGGACTTCCCCAGCTACATTTCAGGAAACCAAATAAAGGGGAAGGGCATGAAATCCCTCCTGCCACTGCTTAGTTTTTCTTCTGGTTTTTAGCTTGTTTCAGTCTTTTTGTAGATGATTTTAATTTTATTGCCTTTTTTGGGGACTGTAAAACGTGCAGAGTAGATCCGTCTCGGTGGGTGGTATAAAAGCTAAATAAATAATAGACAAGGAGATCAAAACAAAAAGGTCAAAGGGACGATGGAGGGAATAGGTGCTTCAGTTGTGGGGATCTGCAAATCTTTGTGCAACGTTTGTCTTTGTGCCTGAGTGTGACACGGTGTGTCCGCACGCAACGCGTGTCAAATGGGTGGCCCTGTAGGGAAGAAACCTTGAGAGAACCGGAGCAGGGAGAAGAGCTCCACTGAGCAGGACTGGAGAAGCTGAGAGAGGGAGAGAGCGAGGAAAGGGAAGAGAGGGGGAGAAGGGAAAGCTGGAAAGAAGGAGGAGGAGGGACTGCTTCTGGCGCTGCGTTTCCCCACCACCACCAGAACCAGAAGTGGACGCCGTGCATAACACAAAAGCCTTGTCTGATTAATTTGTGCTTTATGGCAAGAATTGTGTTGTTTCACTTGTGGAGGCTGCAAAAGGATCAGCAGTGTAACCACCTTCTTGAATGCCTGGGCATGAACACTGAGTTAGAAAGAGGGCAAGGCACTTTCATCTTGCAGCCAATGAAATCAGTGGAAGTTATCTTACGATGAATTATCTGTGCAACTGGCACCTTTGGTCACCTTCTGGGTGATGTGGCTTGCCTGAGAATCCTTTCCCCACAAAGGTACACAGTGCTCATTAGAGGATGAGACCTAATGGCAGCTGCCTTGTCGTGGCGAAGGGGCTTGAGTAACTCAGAGAAGCTATGGGCTATGCTGTGCAGGGACACCCAAGACGGACGCTGAGGCTCCAGTACCTTGGCCATCTCATGAGAAGACTCCTTGAAAAAGACCTTGATGTTAGGAAAGTGTGACGGCAAGAGGAGAAGGGGACGACAGAGGATAAGATGGCTGGACAGTGTCATTGAAGCAACCAACGTGAGATTGACACAACTATGGGAGGTGGTGGAGGATAGGAGGGCCTACTAAACGATGACGGTCACGAAGAGTCAGACACTACTAAACGATGACACAATGCCAAAACTGGACACAGGAAGGCACCAGAGACCATACTATATATCAGTGGTGGTGAATCTTTTTGGGCCCAAGCGCCCAAAGTGGGGGTGCGTGGAAACA